ACAGGCGAGACTGGAGAAGCTACGGTGGCGCGTTTCGACGGTGGCCGGGATCACGGCGGAGTGGACCTCGTCGACGATAAGCGTTCCGGCGGATCGCGATGGGCAAAACGAAAGCGAGCAAGAATGGAATGAGCACTACAAAGATCGCGACGAAACGAGAAGAGCCAACAATCGAGGGCAACGGCTTTCGCCGGATGAGGTGGCCACGGTGAATCGGCGTTTCGTTGAGATCGCCGCACGCGAGGAAGATGAAGCGTGGACAATGAGCTCTCGGTGAAATCAAAGCGGTAGCAACAATTTCGGTCGAGATGCGCAAGGAGCAGCTAACCGGAACACGGCTTTTCCGGGGCTAACTTGCGGCGAGGGGACGAGAGAAGCTCGTCGGAGTTGAGAGGCAATGGCGTCGGAAAGCAGAGTGAAGGAAGAAAAATGAACGGCGTCATCGAGGTCTTATAGTTTCGGCCGAGGGCGCGGACTCGACACGCAGAGTGCTCCCGTGCGTGCAAGGGAAGGGCCAAGGGCGGTCGCAGACGCTACTGGAAGGCCGGAGAAAGGACGCTTGGTGGTGAGGCGGTGGCGCCCTGTATTTATCTGAATTTTTGAAATAATTACAGATTTGCCACTGAGTTCATTTTACAAATTACTCCCAATTTTCTAAAGAAGTTGAAAATCTCCAAAAATGAAAGTTGCTCAATTTTTCAAACTCTACAACTTTGTTTCTAGGAACATTTTCAAATTCTGCCTCCATTATGAAATTTGAATTTGGGGTGCATTTGAGTATTTGAATCATTCCAAAATTACTCCAAATTTTATATGTAAACTTGAAAAACTTTGAATACCAAAGTTGATCCACATAAAATAATCTTCAACTTTGCTTTTTGCCTCAACCCCAAATTCCAAATGGATTTTGATTTAAACAAAAGGGGCAAAAAGGACTTTTGTGATTTGAATTTAAATTCAAATTTGATTTGTTTTCCTTTTACTTTAACTTTGATTTTTGACCAGTAACATGACCCATTAGGGTTATTTGAGTCAAATGACACATGGCCTCACATGATCACATGAAATTTGACCCTCGTGGTCATGATCTTTATTTAGGGTTTTAAAACACATCACATGAAATAACAACATTATGAAATAAAGCTTATTTAGTGAATGCATTCAAAATTTTCTACTTCATGAATACTTTGCAATGCATATGATGACATGTCAAATTTTAGTGCTAGGTCAAAACACCAGAGGTGTTACACATATAACTAGATCAGTACCACCAAAGTTTTGGCATAATTAATGTTCTTTTTCATCATATTTCCCTGTCTACGTGGAAAACCGAAATTGCATGATTATAACTCAATCGTCCCAACATCTTTATTCCTAGCTTCGTTTGTTTCTGCTTTTCCATTTGCTGGACATTGAAGTTTGAATAGTGAGCTGATATGGTGCGTGGGAGGCAGCTTCGTCATGCTGACGTGTTACCGTATCGACACTGTCTTCGAGAAATAAGGGATCTCTAAATTCGTCGCTGTATGTACCATTTGAATAGCACCGTCCATCTTTATAAGCCGCTTGTACAGTGTTATGAGATAAGCAGATTGTTTGAATGTACTCTCTCCGTAAAAAAATGCAATTCTCGTTTTTTATAAATCAAATGATTTAAACTTTGACCAAAACTATACAAAAAAATACTAATCTTTTATAATACAAACTAAGTACCTTAGATTAATTACGAAATGTATTTTTATAATAAACTTATTTAGAGCATAAATTTTAGTACTATTTACTATAAATTTGAGTTTATTTGACTAACATGATCTTATAATTATATTCTTTTTTGGGGACTGAGGAAGTATTGAAAACCAAAAAGGTTACAATGGTGGGTCAGCTTGTACCAACCCTACTTGTGCCCCTTTGGGAAACATGTATAAAGGAACTTGTTTCAATTTTTTTTCGCAGATTCAAAAGACACGATAACACACGGCCAAGCATAATTCAACCTTGGAATAAGTATTTAGACTGTTGGCATGTATTATTATTAGAAAGTACTAAACGAAAAGACATCTCCTCGCACATCGGTTTTAAGAGAGCGACTTGGAATGTATTTAGATTGTTGACACAGACTATTAGAATGTATAAAATGAAAAGTCATATTCTCGTGCTTCTGTTTGGTATAGTTTATAAGCCGTTTATGGTCAAAATAAGTTGAAATCAACGGCCTAATGATATGTTTTTTTTTAGCTTATTCCGGACGCATTTATTCCTGCTACTCTTATTTGTACTAAAAATTACAAAGTGGATCAAACTAGTTCATTTTGATTGCGTTTTTACTCTATTTATGCAGTTTAACTGGGAAGCATTTTCTAGATAAGCAAACAGGGCCTAAGAAAGGGTGTTATCTGCAGACGGTGTAACCTGCATCCGTAGCTTTGGTACGGGAAATACGACATCCGCAGTGCGCACAAAAAAGCACGTCATTTTCAGGAAACTCTGAACTCTCCGTTGGCACACAAAAAATTGCACATTCCTCGGCAAGGCAACGTTTTGAAATGAAATTCTGCGCTGCCGACCACCGGACCGACGATGTGGCGCCCGACGAAACGCTGAGGAACACCACGAACCGCACCGGATAGCTGGAGCACGCACCTGTCACCCCGTCGCTGACAGCTCTTCTTGTTAGTAGACGACACCGGCGATCCGTACGCGGAGCGGAACGCATGTTACCGCTCTGATGTGCTGACGGCTGGCTCCCCGTCGCCGTCGCCGGTCACGGTCAAGTAGCTAGCCGCGCAGCCATCCTGCATTCCTGCTACTTGTACCTCGTCGGCACCCGCCCCGCCGCAGCGGCTGCCGTATACAACGAGCGGCCCCCGGCGCGCGTCGGCTGTCCAACCAGCGAGCGCGCGCGCAGCCACACAACCGCCCGCTCGCTGGTCGAAGTGGTCCCTGGCTGGCTGGTGAAGCGGGTGGTGGCCTGCTACGGGGAATGCGCCCCCAGCTCCACATCGGATGCTGACCTCCCCAGCGGGTCGACGTGGAGCGCGCGGCGCCTCTGCCTGTGCCTGGCCCCGGCTCGCTCCAGTTTTTACTCACCCGCCTATCGGAATCCATCCCGTTACGGATAGGAGCAACCAAACCAAGCCAACCGATCCGAGCGAGGCGATGGCAACCACTGTGGCGGGAGCCCGTGAGGACGACAGGTGCCCGGTGAATTTCCAGCGATTATGGCCTAACGCTTTGTTTAGATTGCCTCAAAGTTCCAAGTTTTTTCACCCTCTCTCCATCACATTAATTTTTGGACGTATGTATGGAGCATTAAATGTAGGTAAAAAAAGTAACTAATTACACAGTTTGGTTGTAAATCACGAGACGAATCTTTTGAGCCTAGTTAGTCCATGATCAGACAAAGTTTGTCAAATACAAACGAAACGTGCTACAGTATCCAGATTGCAAAAAATTGCAATCTAAACCAGGCACAAGATTCATCGTGTGCCTGCATGTACTCGCTCCGTACAAAGAATACAGTGTCATGATTTTATATCTTAAGTTCAATCAATTATAGATAAAAAAATATTAATATTTATGATATTAAATAAATATCATTAAATTAATTATGAAATGTATTTTTATAATAAATTATTTTAGAGCTATAAATATGAATAATATTTACTAGAAATTATATTCGTATTCTTTGCTCGATTTAGGACGGACAGGCACCAATAATTAGCACCACCTCGGCTGCCAATCAGTGCATCGATCGAGCCCGCTCAGTACCACCAGTACTTGCTGGGCGTGACACGGCGCCTTTTTGTTTCGCAACAGTTGATTGTGTCAGTGCGCGGGTTGGCCTACGAGAACATGCCGCTGATGTCTGATGCCGAGAGGAACAGGAGCGGAGGGAGGGTCCCACGTCCTCCCAGGCAGAGGAGCAAGGACCGCGAGCGGCAGGCGGTGCCCGATCTGGACACCTCCGTGCGGCCACCCCATCGCCCATCGCCCATCGCCCATCGCCCATCGGGCCATGTGGGCAGCGGAGATCCCGGGCCCCGATCGCGGGTTCCACGACGGCTGGCTGCCTCTGCCTGGGGTTCGCTTCGGTGGCCGACTCCGCGCCGGAGCAGCCTCATCCGCTTTTTTTTCACCTGATCTGCTCGAGCTCGGCAGGGGATAATGCCGGACCCAGCCAGACCACCCACCCGCCGTCCCTCTCCCTTGGAGAGGACATCCATTGCGAGTCGTTAATGCCATGCACTCATGCCGGTGTAGTGTGTACGCGCCGGCGCGCATATGGTTTGCTTCCCAGCGAAGGTTGCTGCTAGTACTAATCGAAATGGTTCATCATGCGATCCCATTCCGGTCATGCTCTGATGCTCATGCATGCGTAGCATAATGCCCCCTCCAGCGGCCAAAGATCAGACGACAGACAACGAGCGGTTGCGGTTCAAACTCGTCTGATCCGAGCAACCGGCCTACTATCAGCCATGTCGTAGCAACTAGCACCCGCAACTGCGAGAAGCTCTCTGGGCACAACTCAACTCTCACTTCACTTCTCAACAACACAGGGAACAAAAAAGCTATTATCTGACATGTGGGGCCTCGTCCCGTGGCGGGGATGAGGGCGCGCACTGACTGGACTGGACCGCGGCGAGAACGGAGCGGATTGCGAACATGTCCAGGGACCGCGCCCCCCACATTCGTGGGGCCCATAACCTTTCCGGGCAGGGATTGGGCCAGCTGCTCTGCCGGGCCCCACCCCTAGCCCCCTCAAACTGATGACACCACAGAAGGGGCTTCGCTATTAAAGCGCCGGCCCCTTCGTCCGAGCGCAGCGCCAGCCAGAGCCAGAGGCCAGCCGCCGCGCCATAACGCAAAGCCCTCTCTGCCCGTCTCCTCCATTGCCGCCGCGCGCAGCTCTCCGAGCTCGCTCGCAGCCGCGGCAGTCAGCGCAGCACAGCACAGCTTCGGGGCCTGAGCAGCTAGCGTCAGGAAGGAAGAAGACGACCAAGATGGAGGTGGAGACGATGCTGGAGGACGACGTGTTCTTCGCCGAGCTCAGCAAGCGGATATCGCTGCTCATCACCGACGACGACGAGGGCGGCGCGGACTTCGCCGCCGCCGCGCAGTTCATCCCCGCCGCCGCCGCGCCCCTCCCGGTGAGCCTCGATCCGTTCCCTCCCCTCCTCGTCGTCTCCTTCAATCAAGCATGTGCATGCACGTGTGCTCGTCAGAGTGGGCGGGTCAGGCCCAGGCGAAGCCATAGCTTCTGTTGCCTGCGGTCTCGGAGCTTCTCGGTAGGTAGTTGGCTGTTGCAACTTGACAACCAGCTGAAATCAAACCCCAGCACATGGCTGCAATTGCACACAACCTCACCAAACGGCGTGGCCGTTCGTTCCGCTCACCCAATCCAAAGCGGAGCAAGAACAACTCAATCCATCAAGGAGAAGTAGAAGAAGAGGGCGTCTCGATCATGCTGGTCTAGTTGTGCAGTGGCCAACTAGTTGTAGGGGTCTCGGAGTAATTAGTTCTGTAGCATCCGAACACCACGCGTACCTGGAGTATCGAGTATCTACAGGACACTTGCGCATGTGCATACGCGCAGGATTTTAGGAGGATAAGCATTAAGGAAGGCAGCGTACAGAACTAGAGCTACTCGCCGATACTCCCAATAAGTGCAGCTGTATCTTTCGTAAATGGTAGTAAGCAGTAGTCGTTTGAATTAGCGAGGGATTATAGTATTGAACACCTATTTGTGGGAAATTGACCATTTTGAAGGTACTAGTACAATTGCTGCCGCCAAACTCTGCTGCCCGCCACCGCCCACCAGCCTCAGCAAACCTATTTGAAAGAGGACCCTGCTGAAAATCGTATAGAAAATCTAGTGATTGATGTGGTGTTAAAATTTAGGGAGTAAAGTTTAGAGATGTCACGTCAGATGTTACATGAGATATCGCATGGGGTGTTCGGATATTAATAAAAAAATAAATTATAGAATCCGTGAGACGAATTTATTAGATCTAATTAATTCATCATTAACATATGTTTACTTTAGTACCACGTTAAACTTTAGCCAGAGGATCTAGCAAGGCCTTGAATCTGGAGAGAATCTGCCGGTTCATGTGAAATTCCGGCGTCGGCCGTATGACATGTAGTCATGGGTGGCACATAGTTCTGTCAGTGGAGTACAGTAGCAGTACCATGCTGTCTGCTACTAACGCCGTGTTTAGTTGGTGCCCAACTTAAAAAAAAATTCTTATAGATCGCATCGCATCGAATATTTTCATAATTAATTCATGGAGTATTAAATGTAGACGTAAAAGAAAAACTAATTACACAGTTTTGGTGGGAAATCTGGAGAGAACGTTTTAAGTTCCTGAATTAGTCGGCGTTTGGACACTATCACGCCAAATAATGGCGTGGCACATCTGTTCCCAAAATCCAAATTTTGCGAACTAAACCAGGGCTAATACATACTCCTACCGATCGATTGGAACGGCTCATTTTGTGCGAGGCGTGAGCTAGCCCGACCAGGCGGGCCCCAGCACCCAGGCCCGTGACGTGCACAGGCGAGGCGTTGTCGTACGTGCCAGCAGCGCACCCTGCTTGATTATATGCATGCTCCCTGTCCCCGTACGCACACGGCGCTTATTTGTAGTACTATACTAGGAGTATTAATTAGCGTGGCTCCTAAGCACTCGACTAACAAGTTAACTAACTACACTCGATCGTTGTCATCACTACCCTACCTACATGATTGCCAAGACTAACCACTTGCGGACGTGGCTCCAAAACTTTTTATTAGTAGTAGTATACCCTTGCAATGCAACGATAATTGATCCACGCGTATTAGCATATTTGCATGGCATGGCAACATATGGGATCCGTCGTCGTCGAGTCAAGTGGCGATCGATGTTGCTTCGAGGCTTGGGGCAACCTTTATTAGCATTGCTTGCACACCACACCTCATCATGCCATGCATCATGCATGCGACCCGTGCCGGGCGTCGCTGTTGCTAGCTAGCAGCAGTACTATCATGATGAACGAACGGTGTTGTTGTTGTTTAATTAATCCTCTCCGATCCGGCCGGGCAGCTCGATCGATCTGTGACAAGATCCGGTGCCCAAATCTTTGCATGCACGCAAGTGGTCACCAGTCATGTTCCCGCCCGGCTACTGATGCTATCTACGCGAGTAGTTGACGATACAGCTATCGGCCACCGATTGATTTCCATTGTTTTTTCATTTCATAGATTTTTATAAATAAAACTTTGCCATGATCGCATCACATCATGTGCGACGGTGCGAGGCCTCGACACGAACCGCCAGCTAATTAGGTTCAATACGCGCCAGCTCGCAGGCAACATGAACGAGAAGATCAGCTCCTTGCTTCCTTCCTTTGTTTTTGATGAATCTGCAGTCAATTGCTTTTGTCATGCCGCAGTTGGTGCGAGTCTGTGATCTTTACTGATTAGTTCTTGATAAGTTAAGGCAAAAATAAGGAAAACCAATGTTTGGATCACATGTCAAGCATTAGCAAAATTGTTTTCTTCTTGGCTATTGCAATATCATATTAAACCAAGATCACTGCAGATGATATATCATTGTTTTTTTTGTTGGCTATTGCAATATTCTTCTATCACATTAAACCTAGCTGTGATGATTTAAAAAATATTGTAATTATGTTGCTATTATTTATCCTTGATATATTTATATCAAATAGCCACACAATGTTATACAAATATTTATTTATAGTTGATCTTAGCTACATGCAGAGCATTAAATAGCTTAGAGACATAACTCCGTCTGTGAGTTGTATGACCAGTCTTTATACTTATCTGTATGATAGATTCGAGGTATTTAAAGACAGATCCCTGTCTGTGAATTGTACATGCCCTTAGCGGCCTGGATTGATTGGATTGGATTGGCTCTTCTCTAACCAAAAAAAGAAAAAAAAATCTTCATGCAGGGGTTCGCATCATCGCGCGGCGCCCATGTGCCGTCGCAGCAGCAGGATTGGGGCGCGTCGTCGTTGCTGGCGCCACCGGCCTACGCGTTGTACCATAACGGCGCCAGCTACGGCGGGGCGGCGGCGGCGTGGCAGCAGCTGCAGCAGTGCGGCAGCAAGGGCACCGGCGTGTTCATCCCGCGGTCCACGCCCGGGTCCGCGCACCCCAAGAAGAAGGGCAAGAACAGGGGCGCCGCCGCTGCCGCCAAGGCCGCCGGCCGCCGCACGGGCGGCGCAGGCAGCCGGGGCGCCAGCCAAGAAGCGCGTCTGATTTCGACTTCTCGACCGTGAATGAACCAGAAAAAAAAAGGGAAAAAGGAGGGCAAAAAAAGCACAACTACTAACTCCAGATGCAGTGCAACAACGTAACGAAGTGCTCGTCGGAATCAGCTGGATTAGCTTAATCTGTTTAATTAATTAATTAATTTTCAGTATTATTACTGCTGTTATTCTTATATATGGTAAATAATAAAACCATTGCGACTCCCCTGGGTTAAAAATGTATAATGGGAGCCCCAGGGGAGGACTGTGGGCTGCTGAGGCACCACCACACGAATAATCTGTGTGTGTATAGTAAGCTAGTGGTTGGTGGTGTCGCAGTTTTCTTCTTGGCTGAGTCAATTTATTAATTATTTTTTGTATTTTCCTTTCTTTCTTCCCCCATTTTTTGTAAGATGAAGAAATGAATTATGCGATTGGTGTACTACTACTACTAGTGCAGTCTGCAGTGCAGTGCTAAAGAGAGTGGAAATGTCAAATTGTGCAATGAGTGGTAACTGATGCCTCGCGCTGCGTGCTGATTCCCTTTCGTTCTAGCGGTTTCGCTCGTGCCATGTGCCAATGATGGTGGATGGAATGGAATCACGCACGCAGCCCAGGGCGAGGTCGTGCGTGCATGGATTCTATGGTGTCTTGGGACATGTAGTTGTAGGCTTTAGATCCCATCAAAATTCCAAGTTTTTTCATTCTCTCTTCATCACATCAATTTTTGGACACATGTATGAAACATTAAATATAGGTAAAAAAAATAATTAATTGTACAGTTTGGTTGTAAATCATGAGACGAATCATTTGAGCCTAGTTAGTCCATAATCGGATAAAATTTGTCAAATACAAACGAAACGTGCTATAATGTTCGGATTGTAAAAATTTGCAATCTAAACCAGGCCGTAGTACAGTACGCTGTGCGAATCCAGATCTGGGAATGCATGGCAGATGCTGCGGCTGCCGCTGCCGCCGCCCCCTGCAACATGGGAGGCTGTGCGGCGGCTGGTTGGTTGGTTGGTGACGTTCGTCACGCTGCGAAGTTCCAGGCTAGTGCTACGTCCAGCCAGCGCCAGGGGACACGGCACGGTACAGTACAGTGTGTCTGGTCTACAGGTTGGGTGCAACGAATCATAGCGTAGCAAGGCAAGCATCGTCGGTGCCGGTGCGGTGTGGATCCCGGGCGGGGCTCGGGATTCGAGCGAGGTCAACAGGTGTCGGGGCGCCGTGATTGGAGGACTCCGTACGTGCGGAACATTTTTGCCATGGATGGACGGCACGACGGCCGTGCTCGGTGAAGCCACACGGAGGGCCTGGACTATGGACAAGCCGCGGACGCAGCAGGTGGCCGCTTCGCCGAAAGTTGTTTTTTTTTTGCACGTAGTAGTACGTAAGCACCGACAACGCCCGGCAATTTTATCGAACATTTTACTTGTAATGGCCGCAACTCTTGCATTGCATGGGACCAAATCGAGTTTTCATTTCAAAAGTGGGGACGTCGTGATGACTCGTGAGCAATCGGATCAACGTGGCTCCGTGGCTGCCGTCAGGTCATTGTCGCCACGATTACCATTGATGAGAAAGGAGGCTCCCACCCTCCTGTTTTACGCATAGACTTTACTGGTGAGCCTATATGAGTAACAAGAAATATGTGAGGGAAGAGTAGCACAAAGAGAAAATCCCTGAGCGAGATGGGTAACAGAAGCAACCATCATTTAGGAGCACCATAGTCCGTTTGCCGGCGCCGAGCTGGCGAATGTTTTCGCAAAAAAAAAAAAAAACTTTTGCAGCAGAACGCAAGTGCACTCTTGTCATGGGAAGTACGTGGCCTTTCTCTACCTTTGTTAACTAACGAGATCCACCTTGCCATGGATTCTTGCAACGCCGCTTAGGGCCTTGTTTAGATTGAAAGAAATTTCAACCCGATGAATAGTAGCACTTTCGTCTTATTTGGTAAATATTGTCCAATCGTGGACCAACTAAGCTCAAAAGATTCATCTCGTGATTTCCAACTAAACTGTGCAATTAGTTATTTTTTTATCTACATTTAATGCTCCATGCAGACGGCTAAAAATTGATGTGATGGAGAGAGAGTGAAAAAACTTGGAATTTTGAGGGTAACTAAACAAGGCCTAGGTCGAGTTTTTTCGGCAGGGTTTAGAACTGCATTATGCCGACCGGCCGAGCGTACTGGTCTGGTCGGCCGTAAACTTCTGGGCCAGGCCGTCCAGACAGAATTCACCCGTCTAGGCCGGTGCAAGGCCTGCTCGTCTTCTCGGGCTACGTGCTGGGCCGATTGAGCTTTCTCCCGCTGAAGATTAAGAGCATTTTGTTTCATTTCTCTCGCTCAATTCTTCTTGTTCGTTGCAAGGCGGGCGAGGGCGACAAACTCTCCCTCAGCTGTCGCCGCTTTTGTTCTGATGAAGTCTGAGCTCCAGATGATCGGCGATTCACCGATCTTACGAAATGGCTCGAGCTGCCGAAGCACGTCGTCTCTGCTTCGCGTTCGCGAATACGAGGAAACGGTGCGACAACGCTACATGTGTTCACTTTACGCGGCACGGAGCATGATTTGCATCCAGCTGACTCGTTTCTGTCGGATACAGGAAGCTGACGTTTATTCTGCGTTCTAAAATGAGCGGAATTGCCAGGAAACCCAGGGAAAACGACGTCGGCCGGCCAGTCGCCAGTCGGTGATCTACCTACAGACTACAGTTCTTTTGTCTCCTCGTATATGGATCCAGCAGCCAGCTACGTATTCGACACGGTTTCAGATCCTGTGTATGGTTGGGATCGACCATGTGGGTTAGAGTGGCATTTAGTGCTCGGCAGCCCATCTTTTGTTTGGCTGGGGACGACAATCTGGAGCCTTTTTGTTGTTGTTGACAACAATCTGGAGCCAAGGTCATGTTTAGTTGGCCACCGATTTGGCGCCGCCGGAATTCAGTGGCACTGTAGCGATACTGTAGCGTTTTTGTTTGTATTTGATAATAATTGTCCAATCGTTGACTAATTAGGAAACTCGTATTGTACGCAATTAGTTTTTATTTCGTTAACATTTTTGGCTTTCATACATTCTGCATGAAGTTTGATATTGAATCTTCCAGTGCCAAATCCTAGAAAATGGGAAACTAAACATGGCCCAATTGTTGACCCCGGACGAAACTTGTATTGTACGGTGAAGCTTGGCTCGGAATTGCGCTGTTGTCCATCCCCAGTACGTTAGCGTTGGGGTTGGGGTAGTGGCAGCGTTGAAGCTTGTCAGATATTAATAGCCACTTGTTAACCAGGTCATATGCCCATACATGTTAGATCCTGTTTGCTAAGGGTGCGCTTGAAAGAGATTCTTCGAGAGATGTTTCTAAAAGTAAAACGGTAAATTCCTATCAAACGTTTCTAGGATTCGGAATCACAACCAAAAAATAATAATCTTCCAGTTCTCCATGAAACCTGTAAAACTGGTAAACATGTTTCATAGGAGCTCTACGACATTGTCTTTGTCAAGGTACGTTGCCACACAAGCTATCGGCCAAGGTCCCGAATAGGAATGTGAAACATGCACATTCCACATTTGACGAGTGCGGGTGGACGTGCAAATTCCATCCCTCTGTGCATGCTTGCAATTTCACATGTGGGTGCTCTATTAGGATGATGATCCAGTCCAACCCGTGGGTGCTACACCTGATAAGTGCAGGTGTGGGTGTACAGTTTTTCACCTGTAGGTGGAGGCACTCAACTCGACATATTGGGCCTGTTTGATTCCGTGATCAAAATTTGTCATGTCAAAGTTTTGGCAGCTAAAAGTTGGGTAAAAAAAAAAGATGTTAAAGATTTGGCAAGCTAAATACGAGAAGTTGGTAAGTTTTGGTAAGCAACCAAATACAAGCCAAAAAAATGGCTTTGCCAAATTTTGGTTTGGTAAATTTTGGAAGTGAACCAAGCAGGCCCATTGTTATCCTTACTCATGAATGGAAACAGGGTTATACCGACTAATGAGTCGACTGAGTTATTAACTTTTACCAATCGATGCTTCATTGATAAATCTAAATATATATACCGACCAATGTGGAGTGGGTACAACTTGATATACCGACTGATGGTTCGTCAGAAATTTATACTGACTGATGGTTCGTCGGAAGGGGTAAAATTTAGACGATGAACTCTAATTTCAGATCAGACAAACAAGTGGACAAGCACATATGACCTGTATGAGAACGTTCTTGTGTTGTGTGTAAAACTCCACACCACTGCACGCGGTTGAGACTTGAGACAAAGAAACCATCTCACTGGTCAACATTACAATGGAGGACATTGCATTCTTTATTGCCCGCAGCAGATCTAGTAACGATCCATCAACCACTCAGCACCGTATATATTCATTGAACCATGACAGGAATCATATGCTAGTACCAGTACTAGTACATACTAGTACCACGGAGGCGAAGGGAACACAGTATTAATACTAGTACTACTCCGTAGTACATACTCCTTCCTAGAAAAAAATGAAGTTGTTTTGGAGAGCGTGGTCTCTGAAATATAACTTTGACTACTTATTTTTATAAAGATATTTATTAAAAAGTGATATATGTAAATTTTCGTGAAAGTATTTTTCAAATCTATACATATGGTTTTCACATTTTCAAACTCAACAACTTTGACATGGCAAATTTTGGTCGCGAACCAAGCAGAGTTGTTTGATTTATATTCCTAATGTTTTACCAAAGCCTTGTCTAAAACAACTTTATTTTTTTTATATGAAGAGAGTAAAAAACAGGTTGTGGACTGTGGTCCACAAAGAGCAGGTTGCAATCAAAAACTAAAAGCTCCATTAAGATTAAGGCCCTGTTTGATTCAAGAGTGGGCTAAAGATTTAGTCATAGGGCTATTTGATTCAGGAGCTAAAGATTAGCCATATACCCTAACATGATCTATTTATCCCTAATTAATACTCATGCACATAACTAAAAGAAGGTAGGTGGAGGTAATGAGCGTCTTTTGATAAGAAAGGATCACTTTTAGTCCTCTTT